TATGGAAACGAACGGACCATTATCAGATCGCCGGTTTCCGTCAGTTCAAGCCAGGTATATTTGCAATGGCAGCTCCGTTCTGAGAAGAAAAACAATATTGGTAAAATTCCTCTTGCCACCTTGAGTCGCCCGTAACAGATACGAGTATTGACCAAAGTCGTGCAACAGCACCCTGATACTTTCATCACACATTTCCTCCTAACGTTTGGTGCTTCGAGCCTTATTCACGAGGGATTGGATATGGTACTGCCCCAAACCAGACGCAACATCGCTGTAATAATATATTTAATTGTGTTCTTGTTTAAGTTAGTCGAATGCCAATACAATATACTATTTCTCGATTTGGACGGTGGTTGCTGTTGCATCACTTATAAAATTACGGAGCCTCTGTAAAAAATACAGAAGTGGAATTTATTTATAAACACGACTCGGAGATTTGATAGGGATTGTGTATTTTCATGTTGTCAGTCTTCTATTGGTCTTTATTTTTTACCATTCGAGGCAGTCGAGTTGAATGGAATTCACCAAGGTGACAGTCATGTTGTAAGAGTTTGATCAATACCTGTTTAATTGATCTACCAATCTAACATCATATTCCTTCCTTTTTCATGCTTCCTACATATCTCTTTTAACAGCAAAATCATATAATTTCTAAATAAAATTAAGAAGTGCTCCTCATAATTTATGAGTCCGCTTATGACATACAAGAAGAAATACCTCAAACCTCTTTAGTATCAGTTTTACAAAGGCAAAGTGTCAATCAGGCCGACTTCTTTTGTCATTGCGGTCAAAACTGACAACTTCACGGTGTGTAATTTTTCCAAGCGGGTCAAAGTACCCCTTGCTATACATTCATCTATTTTTGAGGTCTGACACATCTCTTATTCGCCACTTTGTTTTCGTGTTTACCAAAAAGGGTACGCCACTAAAACAATTTCATTTTTTCGGTGGAATGGGGGGGTGAATAGTTAACTTTTAAAACGTAAATTGATACCAATGATTATACTCTTTTTCAGTATTATTTTTGATCAAAACCACATGAGCAATTGTCCTCCGCCCATGCGGTATTGCTTCGGGCTTTTCGATAACATAGGGGGGGGGTTGAGCTATGTCAAGAATAAATGCTTCCCTAGAAGGATTTCCACTGCAAAGACTTGTTAATATGGTTGCCTATAGAAAGAGACATTTGGTAATTGCTTCAAAATCTTGCCTAGTGTTATATTATTTACATAGTGCCAAGTTTAATTTTAGCACCGGATAGTTTTACTTTGGCAATTTGTGAAGATAATACCTCAGATTGCACACAATACTGATCAACAATACCTCTAAATGTCCTTGGTAGAGTACACACATGGTGTGAAAATAATGAGTTGTGCAAAGCAGCATGAGCAAATCCCTTTCACTCAAAGTCGATAGATCAGTTCTATTTGATCTCTTCGGAAACATACTGGTCTGATCATGTTTTAGTTTGCCTAATCACCTTTTTTGTTCCCTGTTCAATTATGTGTCACTCGCTATGAGTACCACGTTGGTCTTGATGCCGACCCTGAGCAGAACCCGGGGGTCTGCATCGCCGAGAAATATATAGCTTAACTGAAGTATCATCGTAATCATTCGCTTATCGCCGTGATTCCTTGTATGGCAGTATTCACTCACTAACTGGTGAAGTAGAATGTATGTTCCATGTCAAAGCTGGCTGTCATTTGCTAAAATCTAGCTGCAAAACCCTATAGCTCGTATCTGTTGCTATAATCAGAAGTTTAATCATCCTCATTGCGAAATATGTTTGTGAAATGCATCTGTTCTCCTGATCGAAATCTGTGCTGGATGTTTTCCCCAACACACCATTCAGTGAGGAACAAAAGGTGAGAAACCCTCGGTGCATTGTGACTTACTCTTCAACAATGGTAACTGGAATCAAAAGTCATTAAGAACGGCTTGAGGGCTTATTTACGTAACAGTAACTGTACACTACGTCAATCGGTAGTAAAGCTCTCGGGCACAAACTGTGGTAGGTTGTGACAAACTCTATCAGAATGGGCCATTAACAATAGTCTGGACGGACAGAATAAATCAGCCGAAAAATGTCATCGATTAGGGTAGTAAGCCTATCTCCCTGTTTTCCGGTTTACCAAAATAATTCTTATTTATAACCTCTGGAAATATCTTATACATCATAGCATTGATGAAATGTTGAAAATTGATCCGCGTAGCTCGGGTGAACTGAATTCTATTTCGCCTGTTCGCCGAGCTTGGCAATTTGTTTGCAAACGTTTCGTCATCAGCCGCGGTGACATCATCACTTCACAAGCTCGATGCTGTCAACTCAGTTGGTGAAGAAACGTTTGCAAAAAGTTGCCAAGCTCAGCGAACAGGCAAAATGGAACATTATAGCGTCTTAGTAGATGACCGTATGACCAAATGATAATCATCCATTATAAGTAGGCACCTCAGATGAGATGTATAGCTTTGGCGTCGAATAACTTATTTATTCGCAGAGGTTGAATATCTTGTTTTAAACGGGCCTACAGAACAAATGATGATAACTCAAAATTTGCAATCATTTGGTAGGATGTTGAATAGCGTCATCATTATCAGAATCTTCATCCCAATCATCATCATCATCATCATTCGATACCTGAGGTTTCACGTAGTAATGCCATTCGCAGATGTGAGTAAGAAAACATGATTAGTCAAATTAAACCACCCCCGATTTTCCCGTACTTCCATTTTTTCACTTGCATGTTCGATCCACAGTGATATTTGTTCGTCTCGTTGGTTTTCACTCATCCAGTATTCTCATGTATAATCTATGTTCCTCAGGCGTGTTGATCAACTCGAGCGACATCATTCTCATTTTGTAAATACGATTCACCACACGAGATATACGGATGGAACAGAACTCACTGAAAAAATTGGCGTCTTGCTCATGATTACTGAGGAAATTAGCTTGTCTTAGCCGCGACGAACGAAAACTCCAACACACAAAATGTTGTTGACAACGTTTCGATCCTCTTAAAAAACCTTTCTCAAGTCGTTTAATGAAGTTAATCTCATGATACGAGTAACTGTTTTCTGGTAAACCAGAAAATAGGTAGAAAGGTCTTGTTGGTGGCATTTTTCATCCGGTAACCTGAATCAGCTCGCCCTGGTAAGTTTGATAGTTTTCTATAGCTTTGTGCTCGGCTTTAGTTAACAAATAATCACAAAATAAAACCAACCAGTCCAATTACGAATTTCCGACAACTCTAATTTTGGAAGATTGCAAGAGTTGAATTGTCCCAGGTATAACAATGGCTATAATTAATTCCTGTTTTATGACTGTTTACTGGATTGAACACGCGAATGTTTTCTCATTTGGTACAACGAAATAAGCTAATTAATTCAAAAATCGCAAACTTAATTATATTGAAAAACTACTTGAATTCACACCACTCAAGCATTATCCTTAATCCTAAGAGAAGTAAACATAGTGGTCCAAGAAACGTAAACGTTGACTTTGAATGTTGACTTTGGGGTATACAGCTGGTTGAGTAAGTGTCTTTTACTGTCAAAATACCCAAACCGGACGAAAGATCCAAGAGGTTTTGGCATACAGTCAAAGCCGACAAGCAACTCGAGAGACGCATAAGTCAGACTACTCAGTTCCTGACGTCTGCAAGTGCTTTGATGGGAAAATAGGCTCAATTTCCTGCATAATCAACGAAATTTCTCCATCAAGACAAATCAAAAGAGAGAAAAGATATCATGCTGAAGGAAGAGGATGGTTGAATGCGCGGACAGCTGAGAAACGTGGCACATAACCAATGTGGAGGTTTTTCCGGGCGGGTTATCTGTTGGATCCCCCGTCTAGAAATTATGGACCAATTTGAAATGCAGCTGAGGCCACCTGATATGTAGCGGTTATTGAATGTCCAACAAAGCAGAGCAGGTATTACTTTTACTTATAAATTCAAATCGCGTCGCTCATCCATTTGGCAATGGGTTTTTCTCAGTGGTATCCAGCGAGCAATTCAGCAGGTGGAGAAACCTGATTTTGGTTTCCAAAGAATTTCGTTTCACCTGTCAAAATAATTAAATATCTGACCCCTTCATTGAGTTGGAAGGAAGGTGAATATGGAGCACCTTGTTTTTACTGTCCTATGGATAACCGACTGGATCATTCAAAACTTCTTACATTGATGAGGCAGGTTTCCGATAACTGTCACTTTCAAAACACATTCGCGGAAACCATATGTTTCACAGATGAAGGTGAGCATGTTATCCCGCTCTAGGTTAGTAGCATAAAACGTTTGGACCGCATTATCTGCTCTTTTTTCTAAAGAAGCAGAGGCATAAGTGGATATTACTAGCGATATTTGGTGTTTGATTTGGAGCAATATCGTACTTAATCTCATGACTGAGGCTCGAAACCTTACGCATCGTGATGAATCAATGCCATGAAAGTACGGTTGTTGCCCGAGTTTAATCAATAACCATTGATACCCAACCACGATCAACAGGCTCAAAGAGATCATTGAATGGTAGACGATAAGCAAGTGAACGACTGTCAGCGCCCAGCACACGACGACGAACTTCGTCTTTACTCACGCAACATTTCCACCGGAAGCGAGCAATGTTTTGAAGACGTCCGTTGTCGAAATAGAAGGTTGACGGGCAGAACAGTACAAAATACCCTAGGGTCAATTCGGATGTCACGGCAATAGCACAGATGTAGGTGATGGACAATTGTTTTGGTTTCCGTTATTCCACAAAAAATGTGTTGTAAAATAAAATATTAATAATTCCAATAAACGCGGTAAAGAACTTTAACACAGTTTTTTAGTGATGTTTCCTAATGATTGATGGAAATATAGTTGACTTTGTATCCGAATGACTCAAATGCCAAATTGATGGCACACGTTAACCGGAGTCTGGTTACAACCATCAAATAATTAATCAATCAGTCAATCAAGCAATCAATTAATTAATTAATTAAAACTGTTTGATCCTCTTTTCAGAGCGTCGGTGAACAGCTTTTGGAAGCGATTCAACCGGCATTGGAGGAGCAAGGGATGTGGACGGAATCTACTCAGCGAGGATGGAAGGCGGTACTGAGCTATCTGACTAACGCGATGCGATACGGGCTGGCCAGAACTCCACAGACCTCGCTCAATATCACATAATTTCTGAGGTCAATTATATCTATATTTGAGAGTGTACATATACATAAAAGTAGTATATTAGTTTCATCCAAAAGAGAATTTGAGAAAATTTATTGTTTTTTTATGCTTGTGCTATTCTTGAACACCGAAAAAGTAATTCCCGCTAGAGTTTTGAAAAATTATTCTGTCTATCGCTGTCCATTTCTTAATTTACGCCACAAGCCCCGTTCATCCTGGCTCTATAACTAACATTTTTTATGTTATTCATTGAAAAAATGTGTTATTCGAAACCCATTGCACTATTCTGCTCCTTGTTGTGATGCTGGTGGGGTTAACGTTACCCTAGGTTGGAACCTACTCCTTGATACCGATCAGATTCGTTACCCAAAGACAATGCGTTATGTAATTACATGCCGAAAATCAATAAGCTGTGTTCATTTGAGCCAATCATTCCACTTCGTTGTGATAATCCGCTCTTTGTTGCAAGGACGTTAAGCTTCAGTAAGCAATCGGTTTCAAGAATTATCTATAATTAGATGTTGTGTGTTTCAATTTATATCTAAGTATTGTGCAACCAACCTTCAGAGAGAGGGATCCGGTCAATCACAGACTAAATAGGGACCAGGAGAATATGAGTGGCGTTCGCGGTGAAACGTTAACGAAGTTGGAACTACCGATCACTGAACATCCAATGTCTCTCTTTCGGGAAATGGCAAGCTCACCATCACATCCCAAACACAGAACAAAAAATGAAATCAGACTCATCTCAGGTAATTGCTGTTAATAAATTAAAAGATTTATGATTATCTAGAAAAGTAATAGCACACAAAGTTTTTCGAAACCCAGTTTCTAGATTTTGGATCAACCACCAAATTCAATTGCTAAAACTGCGACAAATACTACGCGTGGGACAAACCAGTGGAAGGCTCAAGACACTATTGTTACACAAACACACACTGGCGGTCGAAGGACACAAAGAGAAATAACAGATCTCAATTCACATGGATGCTGAGAATCACGTCTTCGAACTGGAAAAAGCGAGGATAATTGGAAGAAGAACCACCAAGTCAATATGGGAATTCATCGAGGCATAGCACTACAGAGCGTACAGTATAAATAAATATACACAACTAGAACCCATCTATCACTATCTAAGAAAACATCGGTGACCCGAGGCTGCCCCAGCTAGAACCGATAGAAAACCAATTTTAACCAGTTCGGAACCGGCTCTAAACCGGTTTGCAGTTGGTCTAGGAATGCCAGTTGACCAATGAAAAAGGGATGGCCCCCATGACAGCTAAAAAAGTCAAACAAATCACACCAAACGGTTGCTATTAACCAATAGGATTAAATGGATGCAAACAGCCAATCGAAACCCTCAAAAGGAACTATATAAATCCAATCCCACTGAGGACTGACGTTCCTCCGAACTCGAACTGATGACGCCGCCTAGTGTGGTTACGTAACGTAAACGAAAATTCCAGTTCAGTGAACTCACCAACACCAACATCCGCATCCCGAGCTACAATCATTCCACATCATTTCAAACCTAATTTCAAGAGTTATTTTATTCAGATATGTCATAGCACATGAATACATATTTATGACAATTTTATTGATCTGATGAAATGGATATCGCCAGTTGAGCTTCACTTATGAGGTTCGGTGGATTGGGAGAACGTTCTCCATAACCCCATTATGCTAGTGGATTACTTCTAATATCGCCAACCGAATTTCAACACCTTGTCCTCTTCGCCCTGATATCAAAACTTCAAGTTTGTAAACTTGTCCAAATTTCACGTTATCTAGTTGCGTAGAAGTCCATGCGTTGAAGTCATCTAAGCATCTGTAGAGCTCCAATTTTATCTACCAAGTATCAACGCTCTAACTTTCACTTCCTGTAAATATGTGAACATGCCAGGTAGTATGTTGGCCGATTACCACTGCATGAATTCCGGTAAGTCACTGAGTCCGACCAGATGAACTAGATGCCGAATTCATTGATCGTATCACATTAGTTGACACTGCAAAAGAAGTTGGGTTTTGACTGCACTCCTCAGCAGATGATCTTCATGTTGGTGTGTGGGCCTGAGCTTCATCGTGAGTCCCATGTCAACCTCCAAATAAAATATTCATACGAGGGCTAAGCTAACATTTTACGGATACACAAAAAGTTTTATTTGTTATACATTTTCTCGAAGTATTCTCCACCAGCGTTGATACACACACAGTTTCACGCGCTCAAACCATTTGGTGAAACAGCTCGACCATGCCGAAGCGAGGAACCAATTCAATAAAGTCCTCCACTGCAGCTTTTGGTGAGTCATATCAGATTCCACTCATCATGCGTTTGAGATTTGTGAACACAAAACAGTCACACGGCATCCGGCTTCGACTTTCGGGTGGGTGATCAACCTCCCTGTTGTGTTCTCGTACAATTGAGCTTTTGAAGTCGAAAGGACAATTGTCTGATGCACTGTGCTTTCAACATTTAATCAGTGCCTAATTCAGTTCGAGGCAGCACATACCTGTAGTATAATTCAGTAAACATCAGCTGAGATAATGTGAAATAATTCCGCAATTAGCTCGGACTCGCTTGTAATTTTGTGCTTCAATAAAAGATAACCGTTTTTCGGTAACGCATGTCGATTTGTTCATCAGTGTTCATCGAAGCAGAAGTGATGAATCAAATTTTAAACCCCGTAGTTGATTCTTTTATCCATTTTACTGACTTCATTATTTGCAAAAACCCAATGTTTGCAGATTTGTTTCCCAATCATCAATGAGTAGTGAGGATGCAAAATTTCCGGGATAAATCTGATTCACAAAAAGCACGATGAAGATTGAAAACAATTCCACGCATATCAGTCAGTGATAAATACTGGTAAATTTGAAGCCACATAGTGAAGAAGAGCTCGGAACAGCTGAGTCACTTGAAACCCCTGAGTGAGATGTTTGGATATTCACGTTGCCCGTGGAAGGCACAGTGGTAGGAAACTAACGTCTTTATGCAGTGAAAATCTACGTATATTATTCTGCATCCCCAAAAGTACAATCTTGCATGTAGAAGAAAGGACTGCCAACCAAAGCCTCAGGGCAATTAAGTAAAAGGAAGTACATGCCAACCAGTGAACAGTACCCCGAGGACCTACTCGTGTGTGCTTCGCTTACAGTTGGATTTTTTTCTCACTCCTTTTTCCCAGAACGCGGCTAATGGAATTTCGTTGTAAGTTATCCACCTGCTTTTTCCCCGAGCATGATCCATAATTCTCGCGGGCATAGCCGGGCAACCCAGTTCGCTATTCATTTCGACCAACTCGTGTCTTGATAACATTTTACGAATGATTGTCCAGTTACGGAATAGACAAATTCCGCTAGTCCGACAGCAACTAACGGTACAACACACCACTTGTGAAACTATCTCGACACGCTATGGTGATGGGGCTCGATCATACCGCAATACGCAGACTCTTGTGCAGCGTTATCAAGTAATCTTGACCTTGCATAACAACACTTTTTATACGAACCGGTTCAAAGCAAGAATCCAGCCCGTCATCCGAAACGTATTAAACAGACTATAGGAGAAGTCGCATAATGTAAACAGAAATGACTAGTATCACAGTGGAGAACAACATTTGATCATCATCATCATAGTGAGGTGGACAGATATTCTCAGTTATGCAAAAGTAATGATCAAATGATTCGAGCGTCTGCAAAATGTTCCATCGAACGGATGCTACACAGACTGAGATTAGAATTGGCGGCATACTATGGTCTTGTGAACTGTCCTTTTTGAGTGATGGCGAATAAAAAGACTAGTTCTTCGAGGGTTCAGGATATGAGGAAGTTGAGTGGTAGTAAAATGATTCTGTCTTCCACATACTGAGAAAGGTGTTTTTGACAGTGGCTGGTCTTTACCAGCTAAAGTGCAACTGGTTGGAAATAACAGTCGTCTACCAGCGCAATTCACTACACACATCAACATTTTAGATTATCAATCTACAAACCACATCTTTCAGACTAGCATAGGAGTAAGTAAGATTGAGATTCGTTGGACAACCTGGTCAGAACAACCGTTGTTGGGAACCATTTCCGGTGTGTACACTGTCCAAAAACCGGTTCACATAAAAGAGCTATAAAGCTATCTACCTATCGATTTTTTTTTGGTTTATTAGAATACCCGTGAATGATACCAACACTTTATAGCATTCGTCCTGTTTCACGGAACATATGGCTTAAACAATCTTGGTGAATGGTTTGAGAGGAAATATGAGAGCACAATTCATTTCTCCACCCACTTTCAGGTAGCATTTTGGTGATCTTTTCCAGGAGTATGTGTGATTGTCTAAAAGAATCTTTCATTATAAATCATTTGATTGGAAGTAGCCCTATTAATTACAATTCCGTTCGATTCTTACTTAGGCCTAATCATACCAATGCAGTAGATGAAACCTTTTAACTCAATTTAAAATCGATTGAGTTGGTCATTACTAGATGAATGCTCGATCCCGAGACCAAGGGGATTTGGGCACGGATAAAACCTGCTGCAAGTTGATGCGTCTGTTTTTCCGCAATTTCGTTACTCTCCAAAATAAGCAACGTTCTTTCTAACTGGTTGAGATTATTGGAACATCCTCAAAGGTATTCGTTTGGCATAATTTTGTATCAGTTGCTGGTTTAAATAAATTCAAGAAAAACCTGTCCGCGCTTCAGAGTAAAAAAGGAGTTACCTGACTGTAGTCCACAGTGATAGTGATGGTCATAAAAACGATAACTAATGCGACAACTTATCGCGTTGTTTGGAACTATTCATTCTTGTGAGTGGTTTGAGCTCACGACGAAGCAATGATTGGATTTCCTTGGAAGCCGCGAGTGGATCGAAGACTTTACTGAAGAAAATGCGCGTCTATCGTTGGACCGTTCCATTAATTAAACCGTGTGCTTGTTGGCATTCCGAAGACTTGTTCCTAGTGAGACATACTGTTGTATTTATGTCAACTTATCGATACCCGTCCGTTATT